TGAGATTACGGTTATGTTCCATCAACATTTTATATTACTATTGTTTTTTGTCTTATTATTTTTATAAGAAAATCAATATAAAATGTTGACATAGCTTAACCGTAACCGCACAAAATAGGAGGGGATGAGAGTGTATGGGAAGTGGGAGGGCAAATAAGCCAGGTCCCGGCAAAGACAAGTGGTTTGGTACAGAAACTCTACTGGCTAGCCAAGCTAGACCCAGGAGGATTCTTTCCTGATCTTAAAATCATGTCGTGCGGTTAATTTTCGTCAGGTACTATTTATATTTAATTTAAAATAATTTTTGACCACACGATGTATGATGAACGGACACGATTTGAAGATCCCTAAAAGAATCTAGAGAGGATCCTCATTCAAGCTAGACGACCACACCATGATGTGAAGAAAGTTGAAATCTCGCCATAAAAAAATTAATTGGCAATTTAAGAAGTAATTCAATTATTTATAAATACATGTAAGCTATTCATTCTTAACGTACCTCTTCACGTGTAGTGAATTTTCAAGTCTAACACGTTAACAACACAAATTGGGTGGCTGTTGAGCTTCAAACATGGACAACTTGCTCTAATACCATGAAGAAAGTTGAGGTTCTGTTATAGAGTAATTCAATTACTTATAAGCACATGCAAACTCCCTCCTCTAATCAATGGGGAATCTATTCACAACCGTCCTAATGTCGTCGTTTTAAATTTTTTTGTTAAAGTGTATGAAAAAATCCTTTTCTTATAGGACTAATCTTTATTTTTCCCCTTGTTTTTCTTCACGCAGTGCTCTCGGAGTTTTAGATAATTACTAGAAACATAGTAAGGGACTTTGTCTTAACACAAATAAATAAGATTCTATATCACCTCGGTTAATGTACAGAGTTAAGAGAATATAACCAAACAAGTCTGTCTTGTTCCTTTTGAGTCCAACAGATTTCATCAATATGAGCAATATAACGCCTGCGTCAACCATCACTTTGGCTGGAGGGTATTGAATCCCATATGTGAATGATTATTAAGTCTTGATTGACATGTTAAACTTCTTGTGTAATTTACATGGATTAACAGCTAGAGTGGGTGACAGTTCACTTAATTTGGTATGGGTATTTGTAATTTAATTAAGTGTCTCACACTCCTTTCATGGATTTCCAAATAACGTGTGCAAAAAAGAATTTTGGAGTGGAAATAAGATGATCTTATACATATACGAAGGTAAAGTTAGACTTAAGGTTGGGCTTTACACTTGAGTCAACCTACTATGATATAGAAAGTTCAGATTTCATCTTAAAACTAATTTATAAAAGAGAAATAACTCAATTTCTTATAAGCTCTTCAAAGATTTCTCAACTTTCTAATTCGAGACAACGCTTTACATACTCACATCTTATCAATGTCATGAGTCACTAATTCACAATAACGTTTCGAAGGGATAGCCATTCCAAGTGTAGGGTTGTTTGAAGGGTTAGTCAAGCTTTTCAATCGTAACCAAAAATGTCTGGTTCTCTAAAGAGTTAGCTTCAAACTTAAGCCATGCAGATCTGTTTGGCTTTTTTTTTTTTTTCGCCATGTTCTCTTAATTGCAAAAATTACTCCCCAGAAAAAGACATAATAAATACTATCTGATACTACCAGATTTTGTCTTTAATCAATTATACAGATTACAGTGGTGACAAGCGAGTCTTTCTAAAAATTTAAACTAGGATAGTAATTTACACAATCTAACTTATTCTTTCTAGCCATTCAGTAATACAGTCCGGTGATATTCCTCTCTACTTGAAAGTGAGAAGTCTTATGTTCGAATATCGTGGATGGCGAATTTGATACCAAATTAGGCTACCCATTATGTGGCTTAACCGAATTCTCCCTCCCCTTAGTGTAAAAATATCGATATACTCAAAAAGAAAGAAAAAAAAAAACTTATTCTTTCCACGCTGCTCTTCTTGTTTTTGTTATTTTCTTTGATCCTATATTTGATCACTTAATTCTCCTATAATTTATTCAATCTATATACTAAAAAAATGTGAGAACATCCTTTAATTTAGATAAGTGATTTTCATATAATCTTTTAGCCTCTCACGTAGTCTTATTTATGCTAAAATATTTGGAAATTTCTGTATGTTATTCTTCTCGCTATGGAGGCCAATATATATACAAGGCTACATGCTAATTACAAGAGAATACTTTGCTAGACACGGGGTAGGCTCACGTTAACACTCCCCCAATTACGTTGGTGCATAGATGTCGGGCAATGCCCAACTTGTAAAGTAAGCAAATATACTTTGCTAGACACGACTTTTGTAAGAACATTTGCTAGTTGATCTTCACAAATGGTACGAAAATTAATCCAGCTTCCAATTTCTCTTTGATGAAATATCGATCCACTTCAACATGTTTAGTTTGATCATATTGAACTGGACTGTGAGCAATGCCGATCACACTCTTGTTATCACAATGCAACTTCATTGCTTTCCGTGGTCTAAAGCCCAAGTCTGAAAGTAAATTTGAAATCCACAACAACTCACAAATGCGATTAGACATACCTTGAAACTATGTTTCAGCGCTTAGTCTGGCATAAACATTTTGTTTCTTGGTTCGCCAAGGAACAAGATTGCCTCCTACAAATGTGAAACAACGTGAAGTCGAATGTTTGTCACTGATAGAACCAACCCAATCTGCATTTGCATAACCATACACATCCAAGTGACCATGTTTTGAGAACATAAGTGCTTTCCCAGGAGCAACCTTTAGGTATCTCAAAATGCGATCAACCGCACTATGATGCTTAGTACAAAGATCATGCATGAATTGACCAACAACACTTACTGTAAATGCAATATCTGGTTTGGTGTGTGCCAAGTATATTAACCTTCCAACAAGGGTTTGGTGTTATTCCTTGTTGGTTGGTGTTTGATCTTCTTGCTCACACAACTTGTTATTCATCTTTACTATATATATGTGTATCAATATGTTTCCAAGCAAGCATTCCAGTCTCTATTGGCAATTCCATCCCATATTTATGTTGAGATAAGAAATACCCTTTGACAATCGGGACACTTCAATCCCCAAGAAATGCTTTAAGGGACTAAGATCTTTCATCTCAAACTCTTGGGACATATATGTTTGTACTGCAACTTTTTCTTCAAGACCATTTCCTGTCATCACCATATCATTTACTTAAACAATAAATGCAATGACTTTACCTTTCTTACACTTCAAGAATAATGTATGGTCCATATTACTTTGTATATACCTAAACACTTACATTGACTTGGTGAATCTGACAAACCATGATCGAGGAGATTGTTTGAGACCATAAAGAAACTTCTTATTTGCATACTTGATTCTTAGAAGCCAAATTACATCCTGGTGGAGGATCCATGTAGACTTCTTATGTTAGGTCTCCATGCAAGAATGCATTATTCATATTAAATTGATGGAGCGACCAATCCAGATTTGCAGTGTGAGATATAAGAACTCTAATGGTATTGATTTTAGCAACTGGAGCAAATGTCTCCTAGTAATCAACTCTGTATTTTTGTGTATATCCTTTCTCTACTAGCCCTTACAAAGTCAACTAAACCCATATGAGTTGGGCTTAAGTTAACAGTTTAGTCTTCATCGTCGATTTCGTTTGAATTATTCAATCTAATTATCATAAGTAAAGAATAGTGTGAGAAGTTAAAAAGTGTGTGAAAATCACTTTCATAATTAATTTAAGCAATCAACTTTATTAGAGAATTAGTAGTGAATTGGAATGAATTTGAGTTTCAAAAGGGCTCATTGTGGAAGGCAAATGGAGTTTTACAACGGACCTAATTCTTTTAGTGGGCTAAGACCTTGTACCTTGTTATAATAATTCAATTGCGGAAATGATCTTATTTCCTACTAGTACTATTAAAGATTCAATTGTGGAGCTTCATCACCACTACCAATACCATCTGCACACCACCTCAACTACTTTCTTGCCATGACCATCAACACGATCTCATCACCTCCATCACCATTCTGTCACGACCATCATCCTCATACCACAACCTCGTACAACTTCTTTGTCGTTGTCGTCACCACCACAACTTCCTACTACCATATTACGGCTATCATCGCCATGACCACCATCGACACCACTCTTACCATTATTGCCACATTTACCACCATCATCACCACCCCATCAGGACCACCCCCTCCCTCATTCCTCCACCACCCCAAGACTACAATCTCATCGTGTATACTATTATCGCCACCGCCACCGACACCACCTTAGCATCATCTTGCTGACAACCACCACTTGGCACTTCTACCATTATCGTTGTCATTACCATCTCAAACAACCAATTTGTCATGATCTGATCATAACCACCAACAATAACAATTTGAAAATAACAATGTTTTATTAATAAATTGGTTATAAAAAAGTTCACGACAATCCATAATAAAAATCTCACAAGCTCCATTAAAATCTATATATAATTCAACCAAAATCCACATGAATTTATGAAAGCCAACTAAACTCTCTCAAAATTCATGTATTCATAACTCTATATACTACTACACACACCCCTAACAATTTCGTTTAAGACTAGGTTAAATCTTTATAAGTTGACTTACAACTTACAACCATAAACAATTGAAGGCCACTGAGATTTAGTTCGGGAAGGATCTTATAAAATTACGGTTCATTTGGAAGTAGTTTTAAAATGACTGAAAGTACTTAAGGTGAAAGTATTTTTAGGTTCCACAAGCACTTGAAGTGCATTTTGAAAGAAACATTTTTACTAAGGATTTGTTACGCTCAAGCATCTACTAGTCGTGGCAATAAAAATAGAGTTTTTAACAATTGGTAAAATATAAAAAAGCCCAAGGCGCAAGGCAAGGCCCAAGACCAACATTAGAATTAGGCCCATAGAAAAAGTCCACTACATCTAACAATCTAAAACAAACAAATCTACGCACCACCAAATCAGATCAAACACTCCAATATTCAAATTTTCTCGAGTTTCTCGGCGATTTTCCGATGGCCACCGCCTCCTTCCTCTTCGGCCTCAAGTACTCGGACAGCCTGACGGTGGTAGGCATCTCCTTCTGCACCGCCGTCATCTGCGAGGCGATCTCATGGGTTCTCATCTACCGCACCAACTCCTACAAGTCCCTTCGCTCCTCCATCGACAAAGCCGCCAAGAAGCTCGAGACCATGAAGACCGACTCCTCCTCCGCTGTCAAAATTACCAAAAAGTCCAAGACCAAGAAGATCGACCGCGTTGAGAGCAGCCTCAAGGAATCAAGCCGCGATTTGTCGCTCTTCAAGTTCAAGTCCGGCGCCGTTGTCGCCCTCGTCCTCTTCGTCGTCTTCGGACTGCTCAACTCTCTGTTCGAGGGGATAGCGGTGGCGAAGTTACCCTTCAAGCCCTTTGGGTTGGTGATGAAGATGAGCCACAGAGGGCTGCAAGGGGAGGATGCGACGGACTGTTCAATGGCGTTTTTGTATTTTCTGTGTTCTATCAGTATTCGGACCAATTTGCAGAAGTTCTTGGGCTTTTCGCCGCCGAGAGGCACCAGTTCCGGGTTGTTCCCCATTCCGGACCCGAAAACCAATTGATGGGTTCACTACTCAGGACTCCACTCATTGCCTATTGGGTTTGTTCTAAATTTTAGTAATTTTTTTTTTTTTTTCAAAAATTATTGTTAGGTTGTGATTTGTTATTGTTGTTGTTTAATTAGTGTTCTAATTCTCTAATGACAATTAAGATTTGCTTTTGTTATCATCATTGGGTCTCTAAAAAGGGACGAATTTTAGTCTTTGTTATCCATTTTCATGTATTATTTACCAAAATAATCAAACTTTTTGTTTAAGTAATTAAGCTGTGAACAATTTTGTGCACTTGAAGATGCTTAAAATGCCACTACATTGAACTGAATTATTTTTTTTCTGAATTATGTAGCAATGGTTATGAGTAATCAAACTAAGTAATGTCAATGGTTCGATCAAGCCGAAAGTTGCAGTAATGCAATTTAATTGAGTCTCCGTTTGTTTCTTTCTGCTGTTAGTTTTCTCTTGTGGTCGGCTTCTGTGAGTTCTGTTCTAGTCTGGAATTGGAGCTTTCTCTTGAGAGCTAAATTTAAGTTGTCGTCGTCGTCATTCTAATACTGCCTTGTATGTTAAATAAGTTGTTTAGTTGAACTTTATCAACAATTCATTTCGTATATACTGACATCAAAATGTATGTAGCATTGTAACCAATGACCATTACAACAGTTTTGTTTTTCTGACCGTAGTTCTGTTTTCCTACTTCGGGTCGTTTCACTTTTTGAATTAATTTTCGAAGAGCCAAGTTATTCAAAGGGATACAGAGACACACACAAACACACATATGCATGTCTTTGTATGTGTTTGTGTACCATAGTGCATAAAGTATGGTCGTTGGTTATGGTCGATTCTGTTTGCACCCAGTCTCGATATTTATGAAAGTGGAACGTTGGTGTGAGTTTGAATCTATGTATTGTCATATATGCTCTTTTGTTTTAGTTTGCATAAAACTATGTATGTGTTGCGAGAAGTTGCATTTGTCTTTAGAAGTAAACGAATTAAACCTTGTTATCTAGTTAAAAGACTCTTCTGTTCCTCATAAACAGAAGTGCTTTATCACAGTTGCATTGTTGATAAGAGTTTCACGGCAGGATAATTACTTTTCTTTTTCTTTTTCCGGTTAATACTATGGTGCTGTTGGGATATTAGCCTTGTTATCGAGTTAAAGGACTCTTCTCTTCGTTTCTTACCAGTTTGATGGCCTAATGACAGTTTTCGTGCTTTCGTTGGCCATCTTTAACATGGATGTTGTTTGGTTCTTGACTGTGATTTGTTCAATGATTGTATCCATAAAATTAACATTCATGATGTTGATGAAAGCGTAAAGCTATTTGAATTTTGTTTGTTTGTATGGTATTTAGGGTTTATCTTGGTTATAAATTATTTTTATGAATGATCAGATGTGGTAACTCTTAATTCTTGCATAATGTCGCCGACCATTTCCGAATATCTTGAGTTCAAATATCGTTGGCAAAAGTTCTTGATTAATTCCAAAAGAGGAAAGGACAGCTCTTGCATAACGGTTATTCTGAATTTACAAGGGAAACTAACTGCATTTAGATTGGAGTATTAAAACACTAACATAAAAGGTTGGCTCGATACAGGTCAAGATGAATTTGAAGAGTCTTAACATAGGAGAAGTACAATAATAACCTAAGGTTTAAATATAGTTGCACCATTTTAATTATATCGAGACTTTTTGAGATAAAACTTCACATTTGAGGTCTATTGGGCTTGATACCATCTAGAGAATTGGGCCTAGATGGATCGTACCTCTATATCCTTGATTTCTAAGGAGACAAGAACCTCAACCTGGCTCTGATACCAAATGTTGGAATTTAAGTAAATTAATAGAAACTCTAATCACAATTCACAATACATGAATATTTATATATCCATCGTTAGTCTCAAATTTACAAATGATCGTTAGTCTCAAACCTGAAGAAGCCATGGATGTCAAGTAGTTTCTTTTACCCACTAAGAGACCTTATGTTCAGATGGTGATAGAGCCAAGAACGTTGAACGTATTTCTCTGTGAGCAAGGAACTCTTGCACTTATAGATGCAATGGCAGTCAACTCCCATCTATCATGGAGGGTTGGTTATTCTCCCTTTGCTTCAAATCCCGATTGTGTAGAGGTGGTTGTGATTAGTGCTTCCTTTCAAATGCACAATGAAAGTATACCTCTCAATTATATGATGTAGCTTTCCACGTATCCAAACTCTTATTAATTTGCATTACCAACATATTATTTCTCCTTTATCTATAACTAGTTGAGTCCACATAGAATTCTTACATTAATGGTAGCCTTAGTCATGAACAATTGGATTCAGGATAAATATATCCATTAAAACTGCCTGTGAAAAAAACCAATAAATTTCATGACCTAAACATTACAAATTTCACACATCTTTCCCAAACAAGAGAATTTACAGTTGTCCCTAGCATTACATTAGAAATTCCTCATCCAACCGAGCCAAACGAAAGGATCGCAGCCACGAAGACCGATGAGGAATCTGAGTGGATTTTGAAGTTTTACTTTCAATCTCTCTCCTCTCAGACTCTCAACACAACCCGAATTCCAAGGTATGAACATTTTCCTTCATCTTGTTCCTTTCCACTTACCTTAATTTAATTTCTTAAAGAACAACAATTCGATTCACTCAGATTTAATGGTTTGGTAACCTGCAACATCTTTGGTTCGGCTAGCTTTCATTTTTTTGATCGAAGTCGGTTGTCTTATTAATCGATTGGAACTCGTAGCTCCAACTATGTATTCCCACTGCCCTGACATGGACAACTTCGCTTTTACCTAGGTTTATTCACGAAGCATAGGGCATACTTTCTATATAATTTATGCTTTCGTCCAGCCGGAATCTTAACTGGACGTCTATTGAAAAGGACGGTAAATTGAGAAAAAAAGCATTTCATTAAAAAAAAGAGTGGATTCTTGAGGTTACATTCCGCTATAGTAGCTTGACCAACGTGAAAGTGGAACAAGTGCATGCCCCATACACGAAATTGAATATTAGAATAATAACCTAAAGTTTAAATATAGTTGCACCACTTTAATTGTATCGAGGCTTTTTGAGATAAAACTTCACATCTGAGGTCCATTGGGCTGATATCATCTAGAGAATTTGGCCTAGATGATTAGGTGAGGACAATATCAATGCATGGCAGCCTTAGTTGTGAACAATTGGATTCACGATAAATATATCCATCAAAACTGCCTGTGAAAAAAACCAATAAATTTCATGACCTAAACATTACAAACACAACAAATTGGCCTCCATCACCTGCATCATTGTCAAGCGTACCGTCCCCAAGGGCACCAACATAAAGGACAAGGAGAAAAACTTCATCCGCAACAAGATCAACCTGAGGCCAGATATGATGGATGTATTTTCGTTACTTAATGTTTTCGACGATGTTATTAATGATGGTGATGTTCATCATGCTGCAACTGTTGAGGTTGAGAACTTCTGGTTGAGGAAACTTCCTTTTAATGTACAAATGTTAGGTCATTGTGATGGGATCATCTGTCTACAATATCCCAACGACATTATTGTTTTATGCAATCCAGCAATCAAGGAATTCAATCTTCTTCCCGAGTCTTGTCTTCTTCACCCTCCATGGCCTCGCTGGCATATAGGTATTGACAAGGGAGAAGAAATCATCACGTATAGCAATGCCGCGGGATTCAGTTATGATTCCAAAACTAAACAGTACAAGGTTGTTAGAATTGTCAATTTTTTGCCTAGGCCTTCTAGTGAAGAAGAAGTATGCACGCCTAGAAGAAAAGCAGAAGTATACACCTTGGGTGCTAATTCTTGGAGAGTGATCGAGTGCGATATCAAAGCTAATGTCTTCTGGATGGCTTCGTTTGATATGTACTTCAAGGGAATTTTTTACTGGTATGCAGCTTCTGTTCCACAAGATAATGAAGTCATCCTTTCATTCGATATGAGCGATGAGGTGTTTCATAATATACCACTTCCAGATAACTTCCGTAACATCAATGGGTGGCTTAAGAGTCTTGCAGTACGGAATGACTCCATTGCTCTTTTATTGTATAATAGAGGAGGGGATAATACTCAATTTTCGTCTTTTGAAATATGGGTGATGGATGACTCCAAGGAGGTGAAAGGTTCATGTATAAAACACTTAAGCATTGGAACTTTACAGGACATTTTGATTCCACTGAAAATTTGGAAGAGCGATGAGCTTCTTATAGTTAGCGCTAATGGGCATATAGTCTTCTACAACTTAAGCACAAAAACACGCAAGTACGTTTCTATTCGTGGCGTGGATAATCCAAGATTTATTCAAGCTGCTGTTTATGTGAATAGTGTTATTTCTGTCAAGGGAGACAACACACTTCACGTTCTATCAAGAGAGACAACACGCTTAATTGAGGGCTCAAATGTTTTTGCATACATAGAAAGTGGTGGATTGCCATTGTAAATACATTCTTCTTTCTCAACTCATTGTGTCGGGTGTTCAAACCCTCACCCCTCCCCATATTCTGGATGAATTTAAAGTAGATTATCTATCGTTGGTCCCAAAAAAAAAAAAAAAAAAAAGTTCCTACATGGCAATAAGGACATTTTGTTGATGTGTACAATAAGGATATTTTGTTCAAATTACATGTTTTCTTCAATGGATCAGTGCTAGTAGCCTAAACATTCCTTTCTCATGTGTGCTACTGTTGCGTTTGAATGCATATAATATACATTACAAGAAGACGCCGATAATAGCTAATGACATTAGTAGCAATGGTTTAATATGCTGCGTGGAAGTTGATAAGAATGATAATGCTACTACAGGATCACTGTTTTTCGAGTCTGCAGGTTCCATGGGTTGTCGTATGTTTCTATTTAATCCCTGAAAAAGAGTTGATCTTATGTTTCAAGAGTTGAATAATTAAGCATTGTATCAGTTTAAGGATTGAGGATAATGCTTTCTTCTTGTTCTTGTTATATGCTGGGCTTCTTGAATTGTTCATTTTTTTTGCTTGTACGATTATCACTTTGATAATAATAGCTTGATCGGTATTGAAATTTGTATGATTATTAGATAGCACGTGACTATTAACATTTTGTATTGCATATGCATAAACACTCGCACAATCATGAAAAATATGGTGCATGAGTTGTGTTAAGCGTTGAGTTGTGAATGTATTCAGAAGACAAAGAAGGCCTTGGATATGACGAGAGTATTGGCTCCACCACCAATCTCTTCACTGCATCTGCTGTCAAGACATGATCCCACCAATCTCTCCATAGTGTTTATGTAAATAATCAAGAGTTATTAGTTACCTTTTATGTTGCTTAAAGTCAACTATAGGCTTGTATATATCTTGTATCAATATGCTAAGCATATCATGTGATTGATTACTGAAATAAAAGTTTTCTCCCTACCAAACCCTAAACCCTACTATTATCTATATGGTATCATCCTTTCTCCCCAGCTAACGCCTCCCAACGTTCGATCCTCTCCACGCCCCACCACCCCACTCTCCACTGCCTCTTCTGCTTCCTCTCCTTCTTCACCCATGGCCACATCTATTACTTCCCTTCCCACCTCCTTCAACATCTCCCACACCATCAATACTCCCATAGACAGAAATAATTATCTCAGTTGGCGTTCTCAGTTTTCTTACATCCTTGAAATTCATGGTCTGGAAGATGTCGTGACCCTCAATACCAAACCTCCCAAGAAACTTGATGATGGATCTCTTAATCCGAATTATTCTCGTGACAAACTTGTTCTCAGTTGGATCAAGTCTACTTGCTCATCCTCTATCCGCTCTATCCTGCTTCCTTGCACGTATGCCTTCGATGCTTGGTCTCTCTTGGAAAAACGTTTGTCTCCTGTCTCCAAAACTCACATCCGCACACTTCGTGAACAACTCCGCACCCTCAAAAAGGATTTCGAGAAGTCCATGTCTGACTATTTGCTGCATGCCAAAAGCCTTGCAGATTCCCTTACTGCTGCTGGATCCATTATTTCTGATGACGATCTCATCGAAAGTCTCTTGGACGGTCTTGGTCCTGAATATAAAGAGTTCACCATCGTCGTTCATCTTCGATCTCCTCTCACTTATGATGATTGCTACGACTTGCTCCTTCAAGAAGAACATCTCATCCACAAGATGTCCACACTCTCCTTGTCCAGTAACGCTGTTTTCACTGCCTCTCGTTGCCTTGCTAGTTCGTCTCCGTCTGCTCACAACGGCCACCACTCATCTTCTTCACATCACTCATTTGGGCAAGGCAGTGGTCGTGGTCGCCCTTGGCGTTATTCCAAACCAAACCGTCAAGCCCACTGGAATTCTCCTCGACCTACTCCTCGTTCCTCGAACGACACTCGCCCACCTCTTCTTCCCACACCGTCCCTACCACCTAAGCCACCAACTTTTGAATATGATGGCTACTGTCAACTGTGTGAAGAATATGGTCACAAAGCCCGCCAGTGTCCCACCCGAGGCAACTTTGCATATTTAGCCACTGCGAACTCTCCTTCGTCAGCACCTTGGGTGGTCGATTCCGGCGCCACCAACCACATCACTAATGATCCTTCCGCTCTCACACAAATTCGTCCATACACAGGTACTGACACTATTATTGTGGGCAACGGCAATCACCTCCCTATTTCTCATGTTGGTAAATCCTCCATCTCTGGTTTACATGGACCTATGTTCCTCAAAGATGTGTTATATGTCCCTGCCATTAAGAAGAATCTCTTATCTCTTCGTCGTTTTTGTTATGATAATCACTGTTTCTTTGAGATGGATGATAGTTCTTTTCGTGTGAAGGACAAGAAAACGGGCCAACTCCTTCTGATTGGGCATAGCTATGGCGAACTTTACTACATTCGAGTTGCTCCTCATGTTACTCCCAAGCTTGTGTTCTATGGTGAACGGACAACTAGCGACGTGTGGCATGCTCGCTTGGGTCACCCATCCACTGCTATCTTTCAAGTTTTAGCCCATAAATATCATATTCCCATTAGTGGTGCAGTTTCCTCTAATAACAAATGTCATGTTTGTCCCATAGGCAAGGCATGTCGCCTTCCATTCTCCTCTCAGACGTCCATGACTCACTATCCTTTAGACATTTTACATCTTGATGTATGGGGCCCTGCTCCTATGATATCTAGTTTTGGTTATAAATACTATTTATCTATAGTGGATGATTATTCAAGATTTGTGTGGTTGTTCCCTCTTGTTCGCAAGTCAAATGTCATGCCTACCTTTATCACTTTCAAACGCATGATTGAAAATCGTTTGACTCGCACCATTAAAGTATTACAAACAGATGGTGGTGGTGAATTCACTAGCATTGCATTTCGGCATTTTCTTCGTGATCACAGCATCTCACATCAACTCTCTTGCCCACATACGCCGCAACAAAATGGCATCGTTGAGCGCAAACATCGCCATGTTACCGAAATGGGTCTATGTCTCCTTGCTCAATCTCATCTCCCGCAAAAATTTTGGGTAGAGGCCTTCACAGCTGCTGCATTCCTTATCAACCGGTTGCCTCTTCATCATCTTGGGAATGTTTCTCCTTATGAAAAACTTTTTGCCAAAGTTCCTGATTACCGGTTTCTTAAGACGTTTGGATGCACATGCTTTCCTCACTTGGTTCCTTACAACAAACATAAGTTGATGCCTAAGTCCATCCCATGTGTCTTCATTGGTTACGACAACAACTACAAAGGCTACCGTTGTCTCGATGTTGCTTCTGGTAAGGTGTATATTTCTCGCAATGTACAATTTGATGAACTCACTTTTCCATATCACAATCGTATGGCAGATTCTCCTCCTCCTGAGCAGTCTCCTCCACCATTATTTTTGGAACCACTACTGCCTGCCGTCGCACCTATGCCTCCCAGCACCGTTCCACCACCTGCAGCAGCACCTGTGTCTCCCAGCCACCTTCCACCACCTGCATCTGCCTCTCTTACGCCCCACTCTTCATCCACAGCTGTTGAAGCGCCCTTACCCACTTCACCAACTACACATTTTCAGTCATCTACCACCACCATTGCTGCATCACCGCCACCTATCACTTCTCCCGATTCTCCTCCTCCACGCAAATTTGGGAGCATCAATGCTCTTACTTATCCCTCGCCCCGGCATCCCCTTCCTCACAGGTTAACTGCTGTCCTTGACGATCTTATGTCCATTGAGCCTACTAGCTACACTCAAGCCTCCAAAATTCCTCATTGGCAGCAAGCAATGAAAGAGGAACATGATGCACTTCTTCAGAATCACACCTGGTCTCTTGTTCCTGTTACTCCCTCTATGAATATTGTGGGCTGCAAATGGGTCTTTCGTGTTAAACGCAAGGCCGACGACTCCATTGACCACCACAAGGCTCGTCTTATCGCCAAGGGGTTCAATCAACAAGTTGGTGTTGACTACGACGAGACCTTTAGTCCTGTCGTTAAACCAGGTACTATTCGTACTATTCTTGCCTTAGCAGTCTCCCACAATTGGTCCTTGCAGCAACTTGACGTTCGGAATGCCTTCTTGAATGGTATTCTCCACGAGGAGGTTTATATGAAACAACCACCTGGCTTTGTTGATCCCAATCACTCCCAGTATGTTTGTCGCCTTCACAAAGCTCTTTATGGCCTCAAACAAGCACCTCGCGCTTGGTTCCAACGTCTAGCCTCCTTCTTGTGTAATCAAGGCTTTTCTCATAGCAAATCGGATGCATCCTTGTTTACTTATCATTCCTCTACACACTCCCTATATGTTCTGGTATACGTTGATGATCTTATTGTCACAGGTTCAAACAATGATGCTATTCACAGGTTCCTTGATCAACTATGTACCACCTTTGCTAGCCGCAAGCTAGGTGACCTCCATTTTTTTCTTGGCATGGAAGTTACTCGCCGAGGCAGCCACCTATCCCTTGCTCAAAGCCGTTATGCATCTGATTTACTCCAGAAATTTAAGATGGACCAGTGCAAGCCCAGCCTCACTCCATTCCTCTCCTCCTTGCGTCTCTCAGCTTATGATAGTGATCCTCTCTCGGAACCTGAAGTTTATCGGAGCATGGTTGGCGGACTTCAGTATCTAACTCTCACCCATCCAGACATTTCCTTTGCCGTTAATCAAGTTTGTCAGTACATGCACAACCTTAAATCAACTCATCTTCAGGCCGTCAAACGTATCTACCGCTACATAAAAGGGACTGTTGAATGCGGTCTTTTATTTCGTTCCTCTAACGACTTCACTCTTCGCGGCTTCTCTGATGCTGACTGGGCCGGTTCCCTTGATGATCGTCGATCAACCAGTGGTGCCTGCATTTTTCTTGGTCCGAACCTTCTTACATGAACCGCCAAAAAGCAATCCACCGTGTCTCGTTGTAGCTCCGAAGCCGAATATCATGCCCTTGCCACCACAGCTGCTGAAATTCGTTGGTTCTGTTATCTCTTCCGTGAACTAG